TCTAATAACTTCTAGTCCTTGACATTTCCACCTACTTCCTTCCATTTTCCTATCTCCAATTCCAGCACCACTAACTCTTGGCACGGAGCCAGATCCAGCCTTGAACTATAGCATGTGGAGCAGTACTTTTGTTTTGTTTCTGTTTTTTAGTTTGCATTGAATGATGTTAGATATTTAGATTTTGGTTTGGCCACAGGCTACACAGGCTCTTTCACACTTACCTTACATGCCTGGGCGCTAAAGGTGCTTTCCTTAGAGACCTCTGCTTTAGAATCTGAGCTGGGAAGACCGAGGCTTCTGCCTGACACCCATACCTATAGGAAATGCTAGAGGGAAACAGAACATTTCTCTGTGCCCACTGCTCTTTAGACCACAGACCTAGTTTCCATTGAGAGCTGATCTCAACAATTTTTAAAAAATGCTGGACTCAAGATAGCATGCTCATTTTATTGGGTTCCTTAAAATATATGTTTATTGAACTTGTTATTTCCCATTCCTTTTGGCCTTTCGGGAGTTATATTTATAGTGTCGGATTTAAATGTAGGGATTGCCATTGTTTTATTCTGCCTCCCGTGCATTTGGCACTTGACTGCTTTTTCACTTTAAACCCTTTCCAGGAAGCATTTCCTTGTCTTTGGGGCGTTTTAGAGAGCCTAAAGCTTTCCAAGGCATCCCCACTTATTGATCTCCAGGGATATAGAGTCCTCATTTAGAAGCCATTGTTCTGGTTCGCAAATATTAGTGACAGCTTCCAAGGGATTATTAAGAGTCAGTTTGTGTTTCAGCGACTGACATTTGGGTGCCGGAGCATATTCACATGGCATTTCAACGGTGCATTACATCTAGATTGCAATTTGTTGGATCTCTCGGGCTGTTGGGTTTTAAAATCTAAGTCATAGAGGTTGAAGTTTACACAGACAAAATTGAAGCTTTTAGATCCATTCCATCTGCCCTTTCATTTTGATGTCCTCATGGGAAAANGAGTTGCTAAACAGGTGTTTGGTGTATGAGGTTCTTTGGGATAGATGACGTAAAAGTGGGCCTATTTGGGGAATTGCTTCCTTGGGGTATGTGGCAATGTAAGAGAGCAGCGGATGGTCAGAAAGATGGGAAGCTGGACAAGAACCGTATTGTAAAGAAATAAAAAAGCAAGATGGGAAAGTTATATTTAACTCAGGAAGTGGGGAGAAGCCGTAGGTAGGTGTGAGGAGAGGAGACAGGTTAGGAGCATTTTGTGTCAGTCCGTCCTAGTGGTCTCCAGAGAGGAGTGCAGTGCCCTGGAGGGAACATGCAGAATAATCCACTGTGGTGGGAGACATATTACACCATCTACTCATTTTCATTGTATCTGATTCATAAAAATTCCTGACTGTATGCTTTATAGTTAACATAATGATTAGTACCTGGTGAATTAGTCTAGCTCACTTTATATAGTATAAAAATAAAAATATGCCTATATTAATACTACAAAGGACATGTGCATTTTTAAGGTGTACATTGTCAATACTTTCTGATAGTGCTAGCCTAACTATCAATTTAAGCTCATATTTTGGGAATTACTGTTCAAGGAGCTATCAGTGCATCCTAAGAAAAAAGTATTGGTTACATGAGTTTCAAGAATACTACATCCTGATTTGCCCTCATGGAGTTTCATAGTGCAGGATTTTGATAGTAAAGAAACGAGTTGATCCAATTTAATTTTAACCCAGTGATTTTTAAATTTGTTTGTACATAAACAACTTCTGCAATTGCACCTATTTTTTTAATTAAAATTAAAATTTTTTTCAAGTACAATTGACACTCAATATTATATTAGTTTCACGTGTACAACATAGTGGTTAGACATATATGTAACTTATGAGGTGATCCCCCGAATAAGTCTGGTACCCATCTGACACCATACATAGTTATTACAATGGTAGTGACTGTATTTCTTATGCTGTACTTGACATCCCCATTCCTTTGCACTTATTAGCAGCCTATGATTTGGAGTCCTACGGAATTTCCACGCAGGAATGAATGAAAAGTTCTGAGTGTCTGAAAGNAGTGATTGGCCTGGGAAATGTACTAAGTGCTCCTTCTGAAAAATGCACTAAACTTCCATGCTACTATATTTAAAGCTAAATTCACATGATTTTCAGTTGAAGAAAATGGAATTGTGTTAAATGTGTACATGGACACACAATTTAGTGATTAGAAATTAACATATTAACGAGTTTGGATGTCTGCATTGTACTAACTTTTAGGTCTAAGGAGAGGATTCTGTCTTACACATTACAATGTGAATGACTGTCATTTCTTTCACCTGTAGAATGTAGTTCTTGTTCCATTTTGACCTCAATAATCCTATGATATTTGAAGCGTAATCTATCTACCTACCAACCTACTTTTGAGTACATTTTGAAAATAATTCCGTCCTCCTCTTGTAGACTTATTTTTTTACAAAGAGTTGTGCTATATGGACATTTGAAAAACTCTCCCAATCTTTTTCCCTCCTTCTAACATAGTTGTTCTATGACTATTTATTTTTTAATTTAGTTTTTATGCAATTTGTGTTGACATTGGCTTGTCCACTAAGTTTATGTTCACATTTTATTAGAAATATGCTGCAGGTCTGTTCTCTATTTTTCATTGATGGTACTTCTCCATTTACTAATATCAAATAACTTATACTACATATGGTACAGAGGGAGCAGAAGGAAAATAACTAAGAAACAGAGGTATTTTTCTGGTTCATCAGTGAGCCTTAGATTAAGATTTGGAGAACTTTTAACAAATTGTTTTGAATGTGAAATAATTATGTTTTCAATCAAGACATGTCAGGCAAAGGCATACAAGTTTTCATAGTTGAAAGAAAGGTCCACATAAGAGGTTGGTAGTTTACCTGAGATTCTCCATTTCCTCTGAGAAGCTAATGTCCATTGCATTGTGTATGGCTGAATAGCTAAAGCTGTACATTGTTGTTTAGGTCCCAGAAGTGGATGTTTAACAAAGTGTGTTTTGTTCATTCCTAAATCTGTTAATTGCAGTTTAGTTGTTATTATAATAAAAGTAAACTAGGTTACTTTTAAAAAGAGAGTTGTTGTTTTTATAATAAATAAATGCTTTTGAAAGAACTTTTAAAGATGAATGGCTGAAATATTGCTATAGAATTAGGAGTGATCAATATGATTATCAAGGGTTAGGGAATCATTATGAAAATCTAGAATAATACTGTGCCCAGACTACATCTTCAGAGTTGTTAATTTCTTGTTTTGTTTGAAAGAAATAAACACTATAAATTACAGATAATTCATTATGGTTGTATGTATGTATATAAATACACAT